GACTTTAATAATTTACTCTTTAAAAACTCAGATGCTGGGGCTGGAGAGATGGCTCAGTGGTTAAGAGCACTGACTGCTCTTCCAGAGGTCCTGAGTTCAATTCCCAGCAACCACATGGTGGCTCACAGCCATCTGTAATGGGATCCGATGTCCTCTTCTGGTGTGTCTGAAGACAGAGACAGTGTACTCACCTACATAAAATAAATAAATAATTCTTTAGAAAAAAAAAAACCTCAGATGCTTCCTGGTTGCTATTACAGTTGAATTTCACGAACTGTGTTATATTTCATAAAAACACAGTGAGGGATTTGATTGATATTGAATTGACTCCTTTAGAGAAATTTGCTTCTCTTTGTGCCATTGGTCTTCCTGAACAGCAGCCAGGAGCAGCTCTCCGTATATACCCATTTTTATTTTTGTCATTCTTATTTCAAATTTGCTTTAATTCAATGCGCTGTACATACTAAGGCTCAAGACTGGTTTGTTTTAATTCTGTCGCAAAGGTAAGTCCTTTGTTCTTGGCCTTCAGTCTCTTGTATTGAAAGATGCACTTGACTGAAGTTTGCACTTTGTGACTTTGAGCATCCTGCTTCCAGGGCTTATTGATGCTTCTGCTCTTCTCTTGTTTGGGTTGGGTCTTCCTTACTTTTCTGATGCTGTGAAGAGACACTGTATGAGAGAAGAATTTATTGGGGCTTACGATTCCAGAGTCCATGACCATCACGGTGGGGAGCATGGCAGCAGGCCGGCCAGCATGGCACTGGAGCAGTGCTGACAGTATGCAGGTTGAGACAACAACCATAAAGCAGAGAGAGGGGGGCAGGGCTGAATAGATGTTTGAAACCTCAAGATCCTGAGTGACACACCTCTCCAACAAGACCAGCCCTCCTAATGCTTCCCAAACAGTTTTACCAACTGGGGACCAAGCAAGCAGACATATAATAAGCATATGGGACTATTCTAATTCAAACCACCACAAATTGTGTTTCTTGGTGTTATAGACAGTTGTGATTTTCCAAAAAAACAATACTTTTTAAAAAATGTGTTATTGTTTATCCCTCTTTGTTTTGTGTGTGTGTTTAAAGATAGTTTCACTACAGAGCCAAGGCTGACTTCAGATGTGTGGTTCTTCTGCTTCAGCTTCCCAAATGCTGAGATTTGCAGATGTGGGCCAGTATGCTTAGTTTAATTTTTGAAACAGTGTGTGTGTGTGTGTGTGTGTGTGTGTGTATGAATGTGCACGCATGCGTGTGGGTGTGTTCATGTGTGGGTAGGTAGATTTAAATGCACATGTGTGTGTGCACACAGGTAGAGGTTGGTTTCCTTTCTCAATCTCTTTCTATCTTATTTTTTGAAAAAGAATCTCTCACTGAACTCACAACTCCCTGATTTAGCAAGACTCACTGGCCAGCAAGCAACAGGCTCTTCCTGTGTGCACCTCCCTGTTTTAGGATCACAGATGCATGAAACCATACTTGGCTGTTTACATGTGTGCTTGAGGGAGTTCTGAACCCAGGTCTGTCATGCTTATGTGGCAAGCACTTTAACAGTACATCTCCCCAGCACATCTCTCCAGCATATCTCCCCAGCACATCTCCCCAGCACATCTCCCCAGCACATCTCCCCAGCATATCTCTCCAGCATATCTCTCCAGCACATCTCCCCAGCACATCTCTCCATCATATCTCTCCAGCACATCTCTCTGTCATATCTGTCCAGCACATCTCCCCAGCACATCTCTCCAGCATATCTCTCCATCATATCTCCCCAGCACATCTCTTCAGCATATCTCTCTAGCATATCTCTCCAGCATATCTCTCCAGCACATCTCCCCAGCACATCTCTCCATCATATCTCTCCAGCATATCTCTCCAGCATATCTCCCCAGCCCATCTCTTCATCATATCTCTCTAGCATATCTCCCCAGCATATCTCTCCATCATATCTCTCCAGCATATCTCTCCAGCATATCTCCCCAGCATATATCTCCAGCACATCTCCCCAGCATATCTCCCCAGCATATCTCTCCAGCACATCTCCCCAGCATATCTCTCCATCATATCTCCCCAGCACATCTCTTCAGCATATATCTCCAGCACATCTCCCCAGCATATCTCCCCAGCATATCTCTCCAGCACATCTCCCCAGCATATCTCTCCAGCCACCGTTCCATTTTTTTTTAAATTGTTAATTCCTTACTTAGAGTTTCAAAGGCTGACATCAAGTTTGATATGGGTGCTGTTATTAGTGTTTTGGACTTCTTCCCGTCTTCTCTGTTCTGAACACAATTCCATTTCCCAGTATGTTTTTTCCTTGCTATTTGAGGCAGGAGTGGATGCTGAGTTTTATGGACAGCCTTCTCATTGCCCTTTGAAATGACTAATTAGTCATATGTTTTTAGTCCAGGTGAGTTGTTCCTCACAGTTTTCTTCTTATGTACTTCCTTGAATTCCCATGTAGTTATTATAAGATTATGAAATTGTATTAAAATGATACTTGTCTCTTATAAAATAAGTTAGGCAATTCAAAATGTTTTCTTTCTATATTCTAGTAGGGTTTAAATAATATAAGAATATTCTTTGAAGAATTCAAGAAAAAAAATCTTGAATCTTGAAACTAAGTTTTTTGTTTTTGCTTTTGTTTTTAAAGATGATTTTATATTATAGGTATGTATGTGCCCAAGTGTAGGTATATACATTGCATGTGTGCAGGTGCCATCAGGGGCCAGAAGAGGGCGTCAGCAATTCCTTGATTGGAAATTACAGGTATATGTGAGTCTCTGGATGTGAGCACTAGGAAGCGAAGACGAACCCTGTATAAGAGCAGCAAGTGTTCTTAACTGCTGAGCCATCTCTTCAGCCCACTTGATGCTGAGATGCAGTATTACTTTGTGGTTCAGAATGGTCTTAAACTCACACTCCTCCTGCCTCTCAGGAAGAGATTACTGACATATGGCATTAGGCCTACCCAGCTCAAAGGATGTTTTTAAAGACTCATCTGACTGGGTTCACACATTCAATCCCAGCACTCTGCAGGCAGAGGCAGGTAGATCTGAGTTTGAGGCTGGTGTGGTCAACATCTCTAGTTTCAGGCATGCCAGAGCCACACAGAGAAATCTTGTTTCAAAAAAAAACAATTGTTTTGTTCAACATTTCCCTTTGTTATTGATACTGATCTACTGACTTTCTACCATCTTGGATGTGTTCTTAGCATTTTGATCCTTTAGCTTGTCATCTTTTTTGGTGAATTCTATTTCCAGTTCTTTTGGTAAAGGAGTCAAGCTGTGTAGAAGGGTGGAAGCCTGGACTTACCTTCTAGCATCGCATCCAGCAGAATCTCTTACACATTGGCCCAGATCCTCTAGCAGGCAGTTGTGTCTCTCCATATTTTTTTCCTATTTATGAATCTTGTGTGTATGGGTGTGGTGGTCTCAGTGAGAAAGGCCCCTATAGGCTCACGTATTTGCATGCTTGGTTCCCCACGATGGACTATTTTGAGGATTAGGAGGTATGACCTTGTTGGTGGAGGCTGGGGATAGGCTTTGGTGTTGCTCAATCTCTCTCTGCAGGTGTAGCCCTGTTACTTCTCCAGCACCATGCCTGCTTCTGTGCTGCCACGCCCCCCTGCCATGAGGACAATGGACTACCCTTTTGAAACTGTAAGCAAGCCCCAGTTAAAAGCTTCCTTTTGAAAAAGATGCCTTAGTCATGGTGTCTCTTCACAGCAGCAGAACAGTGACTAAGACAATGGGTATTTTGCCTGCATGCTTGTCCATGTGCCATGTGCATGCTGTGCTCACAGAGACAAAAAATGTGTTGGATCACCTGGGACTGGAGTTATAGAAAGCTGTGAGTCACCACATGAATGCTGGGAATTGAAGTGAACCCCGTTTCTCTCGGAAAGAACATTCAGTTCCCTTAACCAGTGAGCCATCTCTCCAGCCATTGATATGTGCATGTAACTTAGCATATTATATCCATGCATCCATGCATCCATGCATCCATCCATCCTCCTGTCTATCTGTCTATCCATCCATCATCCATTCATCCATCCATCCATCCTCCTGTCCATCTGTCTATCCATCTATCATCCATCTATCCATCCATCCAACCACCCATCCTTTCATCTATCTATTTTTCATAATCTAAATTTGAGTTAGTGTTTATGGCCTGGCTTAGTGGCACATGCCTGTAGTCCCAGCTATTAGGGAGGCTGAGACTGGAGGATCACTTGAGTGCAGGAGTTCTGGACTGTAGTGCACTATGCCAATCAGGTGTCCACATTAAGTTCAGCATCAATATGATGACCTTCTGGGAACAGGGGACCACCAGGTTGCCTAAGGCGGGGTGAACCAGCCTAGGTCAGGAACAGAGTGGGTTGAAACTCCCTCACTGATCAAGAGTTAATGCTTATGAATAAAACCAAATTGAATAGAAAATAGATGCCAGGAATGCTAGCATCTTGAGGGCAGCCATGAGGGTGCTTCCCAGGAGATGTAATGTCTAAGCTAATGTCTGCATGAGGCAGGGAAGCCAGGCAGGGAAAAGAAAAGTATTCTTGGTAGAGTATCCATCAAGACCCAAGGCCCTGAGGTGAGGTCAAAGCAAACTTTAATCTGATTTAATTCTTAACCATTACAAAGAAAACTGATATTTTTAAAGGAACTAAGTGAACTGCAGTCACCCCAACAACCTCTAGGACAAGTACCATCACCATGACTACAGTGAAAGTTATAATAAAAGGGTCAGTACACAGCTTGGGCTGGAGCAGACTTCTCATGGTTACTCTGAAATTCAGGTGTGGATTGTAGGAGCCAATGTCTCCCTGTCTGCCATCCATCAGCCCTACAGGGATGCGTGTCATCCAATGTCTCCCTGCCTGCCATCCATCGACCCTACAGGGATGTGTATCATCCAGTTGTTCCTGACTCAGTGCACAGTGTCTCTGCTTATGCCCATCACATACACACTCTGCAAGAAGGTTTCTGACACCGACTCAGGTAGATTTCAAGGCTGTATGCATTTTACTCCATTTCCTAAGGATGGCTCTGTGTACAGTATACACTATTGGTCAGCACTGACTTGGCTGTAGTGGCCCCATTCCATACCCCTAAGATTGAGAGTGGACTGATTTGGTCTGAAACAGAAAAAATTGAAATGTCCTTGCCTTTCCTGGGCCCATAGCCACTCTTCACTGTCCTGGACAAACTCTTATGGCTCCCTGGCGGGACTGGCTATGGGGACAAGGGAATATAAACCTAACTTCTTCCCCTTCAGAGCACGGTCTGTGGCAGGATTATTTCCCTGCTACTCTGGACATTTGCCCCTTCTTTCTGTTTTCTTGACAAGCCAAGTCCTTCCATGCACACACCCAGCACCACAGTTTGAGAGGAAGGCCAATATGAACTGTAGAAACCAACCATGGGAGTAACTTCTCTTTTAATTTTTCATAAAGAAATGAAACTTTATTGTTTTTCAAGTACTTGTGTAGTACCTCAAACTAATGTCTCACAGAAGGTCGCCAGTAAGGATCTTGTAGATGTTCCTTTAAAAAATATATCAGGACTGATAATAATTAGCCTATGCACTTGCTGATTCTAGAGGGAGACTCTAAAGGGCTCCAAAAGCATTTTTGGAGACTGATATGCCGCTCCTAGCAATATTGTTTATGCTCTTAATTTACCGAACAGATGACTTTATTGATTGTGCAAAGGTAAACTTTTGTTCAAAATCAATGATCTCAAATTAATCAGGCCCAAATAAATATGGTGTCTCATTTAGACTTCCAACTGAAGGTCACACATGACTGACAAATTTCAAGGTATTATGGTAAAGCAAAACTCCACCGTGATGAGACAGCAGCCCTTGGGAGGCCCTTGGGCCCGGCCTAATGCTTGTCTTGACCTTCACACTCCCACCTCAAGGCTTCCAGTTTCCTTGCTGTTTCTCACTTACTTGGTTCATTCATCTAGGCACATCTAGGCTCTGCTTTCTAGGCCAGGCTTAGGGAATGGGCAGCTGTCTGAAGAGCAAAAATGTTAGGTGAGAAGGAAATAAGGAAAGAAAACTATCCTATGGGAACCTGAAGCCAGCTTCCTGTCTCAAAGAAAGTGGGCACTTGCCCAGGTACAGCGGCCATGCCATCCAAGAGGGCAAAGATGCGTAGGTTTCTTAAGAATTTCTCTAGTGTCTGAAGTTTCTGACAGTGTCATGAGCTACTCCGATTCTGCATGTTTTTGAAAGGCAGGGATGTCCTGGGAACTTTTCTACACTGATTCCTGACAATAGCCAAGAGATCCTTTTCCAGGACTAACTAGGCAATACTGGAAATGACGTTGGTTCAGCAGGAAGCAGAAAGGAAAGAGAGAGCAAGGGTAGAAGCAGCAGCTAATGGGGCTCTCAGAACAGCATAAGGCCCCAGAGAACTTACTGTTCTAAAGAGAGGGGTGTTCCCAAGAGTGTGTGGTTGAGATAGCTGGACCTTCTGTGACACCTGAGCCTTGCAGACAGGAAGGACCACTACCCAAGGATCAGTGGCGCACTGGGTGGCACACTGCCCCTGGACTTGCCCTTACTGCTAATCTGATGAGGTTGGAACTTGGCCTGCTGGTGTGCTAGTCTCTAAAGGCAGGACACAGAGCCAGAGCCTTCCCCACCTACCTGGAGGCTGAAGATGACAAACTTGTAGTCACTCTTTCTTTCTTTGCTTTCCCCTTCAGCCACCCTGACCTCTCTTCACAAGCCCAGCTCTCCGCTGGTTCCTGACTGGCCTTGGCTGGGACACAGATCTAATCTGTCCAACTGGCTTCCTTTCCTGGTCCCAGGCTCTTGCACTCACAGAAAGAGAATTTTGTTTTTCAAGGTGTGAGGGGGAGGAGCAGGAAAGACTCAGGTAGGAAGGGAAGCCAGAATGGGAAGAGGAATGAAGCCGGGGCACACACACTTGGTGATCTGAGAGGCTTTCCTCCAGAGTTAGATAGGATTGACCTTTGTGTGTTGATCTATCTGAATAATACAGGTGAGGTGAAGGGCTGGGACACAGGGAGGGCTGGGGCGACCTCTAGTTTACAGACTGAGAGACTGGGATAGGAAGGATCTGAAGAGGCAACCCCAACATGTACTGTCTTAGGGTTCACAGCGGGACCTATGGAGCAGCTGGAGCAGTCTCCTCAAGTTTATTTACCCAAGCCTGCCATCTTAGTTCATGTAGTTACCTCCTACTGTGTCCCCAGCCCTTCCCTTCACCACAACCCCCAGCAGCCCCTCCGGAGCGCTCTGCTCTTCTCCCTCGGTCTTCCTCTGTCACCGAGCTCAGTAGTATGTCTCCTTCTCCACCCAGCCTGTTAGAGAGATGGGATAAAGGTTGCAGCAGGAGCATAAAAGGAGGCAAAAGGTCAACCCCACCCAGGGCCTCAACAGCTTAGGGCTGACCAGAGCTTGAATAGCTGAGGGTAAGGAGGAAAAGAAGCCAGGGGAATAGAACAGAGGAAAAGGACAGCCCCTAGCCTGCTGGAGTGGGCTCATGTTGTTAACTGGAAAAGAGGGGACAAGTCTATCTTCAGGGGGGACTTGCATTTCATTCAGTAGATGCTGAAAATGCCTTCTGGTCTCCCCAGGTAGCCAGCAGCTAAGGAGGGAGTGGTCCCACTGGTACTACAAAGACTGACAGCCTTAATATTTGTTTTAGAAATCAGATTTCAGATTTGATGCGAAAACGACAAAGCTTTAGATATTGGGCCCATTAGAAAACCACACACACATAAAATATTGGGCCACTGTATACCAAACACTGTTCATGGACCGTGTGTGGTTTGTAGGCCATCCATTTGAACCTAGCAAATGATCAAAGACATGTCTAGGGAAAATAAACCAGATCTTGGTTGATGCCTGGGAACCAGGAGCCCTGTGTTCAGGTTTCCTTACCTTATGATCCTAAATAAATAAATCACTTTTGTACATCTTTTTATCAGCAAGTGTGTAGATGACTAGATGGCCTTGACGGGCCTTTCTAACCTGAGAGTTAAAACCTGGGATTCTAAAGCAGTAGTTCTTAACTTGTGGGTCATGACCTCTTTGGGGGTCAAATGGCCAGTTCAAAGGTCAAAAGAAAACTCCATCTCTTGAAGTCAAGACAAGTACTAGGCCAGGCCCAAAGGCCTCTCAAGGGCTACTGTCTCACAGGGGTTGACTATCAGATATCCTGCATATTAAATATCTATATGATGATTCATAACAGTAACAAAATAACAGTTATGGTTGGGGGTCACCACAACATGAGGAACTGTATTAAAGGGTCACAGCATCAGGAAAGTTGAGAACCACTGATCTAGAGGAAAGTTGAGGCCTTAAAGAACCTTAAGCTAAGTGGGATATAGGATCTTACAGAAAGAGGTTGGGGTGGGAATACTCAGGGCCTGGGACCTTAGGTCAGACAGACCTTTCTGCAGAGTGGACATGCTTACCCCCGGGGTACCGCCGCAGGATGAGCTTTCGGACTTCATCATAGATGAAGATGAGGAGACTGTAGGGAAAGGCACAGAACCACCACGTGACCCTGGAAGCAACAGAAGGAGGTGTCAGGAGCTCCAGAGGGTGGCACATGTCGCAAAGGTAGAGTTAATCTTGGGTCCTAGAAGAGGCCCAAGATTTCTCTGCTGCAATCATTCCCTCAATGCTAGAGAGACACTCACTTGAGTGGGTACATTCGGAGAGCCACCCCCATACCCGGGCAGTAAGACAGGAAGGCAGCCAAAGCCGTCTCTTCTAGCAGCCCAAAAATCAGGATCTTGTTCCTAGAAAGGCAAAGGAAAGAAGGCAGGTCGCTTTGTGGGCGGATATCAGAGGGAGAGCTCCAGGGACACCCTGGGGGCAGAAGGGAAAGGATCGGGAAGAAATGTGGGCAAGGGTTCTTCATCCAGGTCCTTTACAAACCTCTTCTCATGCTTTATGTAACCAAAGGAAACAAACGCTTTCTTCTGCTTGTTCTGTTTATTAGCTCATTAAATAGTTATTTCTTATGTAACTCTGTGCCAGAGATGTAGTAGTCAACAGGGGCTTGCCCACAGGCAACATATAATATTGTTATTGCACACTAGGCCATCTTCCCAGCAAGATGTCTTTAAAAGCACCTCTGGACAGAGCTCATGGATGCCTTCTGTTTCTTAGCATCTCCTTCGACCTGGGTGGTTGCTTATCACAGACACTGAATGAAGAGGATGTTTGCTTCTGTGTTACCACACAGGAAATGGTTGACATATATTCTCTGCATTAGAATTTAAAAGCAGAACAGAGCAAAGTGATGAGGGAAGTTTCTAGAGTCATATCTGTCAAGCCTATGGCTAGCTTCACCACTGCCAGACTTTGGGTGGTTGATGAGTGCTTAATTTTGTATGCTTGTCCTTTACATATAATAAGGAGAAAAGAAGACAAGTTTCCTTTGGTTACAAAAAGCATGAGGCGATGTCTGAAGAGGACATAGGAATGTCTCATTGCTCCTCTTCCACACAGCCCACGTTTTAATTGATTTTTGTCTCCCTATTTATACTTGCTAGTGATGAATACATTAAAATTTATTATAAACATTCATGGGTTCCAAGCAAAACTGGATTAACATGCCATCACTGTCTTCTTGAGGCTTGCCTAAGGATGACCCACTAGAAAAACTGGCAGTTTCTCGCAAATAAGAGCTTGGTTTCATATCTCTGTTTGAAATGTTGCTGAGAGTGTCTCTAAGGACTATTAACAGTCTAGAGACAGAAGGTAAGACTTGGGCACTCTGAGACTCCCTCTGGCGAGGTGGTTTGTGGGTATCAGTGTTTCTTCCTGTGCTTAGCCAGAGTCATGTTGTTTTGTTCTTAATTTGCCTTTCCATGGACTGACTTAATCAGTTTGGCTCTGTCTCTACCTTCCTGGGTCACCCACATACTTCCTTCTAAGTGTCTCGTATAGGACTGTACCTAATTTCTTAGATTTCCTGGGACAAAACTCTTGGAGAATAGTAGCCTTTGTTTATGGTAGGAAAAAAAAAAGAGCCTGGTCCCCTTTAGTACTTTAGTTATCCCTATCTGTGAGGTAAGCTACTACAATGTGGGGTGGAGAGATCAACCCAGAGCGCCCGGAGCAGCTGAGTGGCCTAACCATTTAACCATGGGGAACTTCTTGCCAACACAATGTACAATGGTACCCACCTGGAGGAGCCGTTGTGAGACTAGAATGAGACACTTGATTCACTGCATGGCATATGGTGCCACACTGTAGAAGGCCTGAGTAGGCCCCTGGGCAGATGCAGCACATATGACCTATGCTATAAACTCGGCTACCTGCCAAGGTTGGTGTGGAGCACAGGAAACCTGACCCTGGATTTAGAACTGGGGAGAGGATGTGGCTAGGTGCCGTTTAGCTAGGGAATGGAAGAGGAAGGAGGGTGAGAAGAAAACAAGGAAGATGAACATGAAGATAGGAAACGATAACAATGTAACTTTCAGAGCAATGTTACAACTCAGTAGAAAGAGTCTTGCCATGCCGTCCTCATTTTTGGTCTGTTTTAAGCATGGCTATGGATAGGTGTGTTATTACAACCAGATACTTCCTCAGCAAACCTGAGTCCTGGGAGCTAAGGTGCGCTAGTGTTAGACTCCTGGCCTATGTGGGTTGGTGATCATGTGTAGAGAACTCTGCCTGATAGGGACCGGTAGTAGTAGTGGTAGGTGCTCACTTCATCCCCTGCTGGAACACTGAGTTGCGACGGGTCTTGCAGATGATGAGGTCAGCCCACTGCACAACCACAATGCTGGCAAAGAAGGCCGTGTGGCATGTGAACTCCACCACCTTCCGCTGCTCGTAGGTCTGGACATGAGAGAGGAAGAGATGGTCCAGCAAACAGCATGCTTTAAGCAGTTGTTAAACCTGGCACTTACTCCATCTTCAGCCCCTTGGCTGCTCCTTGCCAATTCCTGCCAGGGCCTCAGCCCTGCCCCTTCTTGTCTGTGGCACGCTTATACAGCCCCACTCACCCACTCTTGTCCATAGCTGTCCTCCAGGTCATTGGTAGTCCGATCATCCCAGTCAAGGCGGATCCCTAGCAGCCGTGATGGAAGGAAACCGTTCTCTGCCAGTATCACAAAGTAGGTGAAGAAGCCACCCAGAGCCTGGATCATGCCTGAAGGTAGTTGTAAACAAAGGGTGGGACCTGAGTAGAGAAGGGGACTGGAAAGAGCCATCCCTTGGGGACAGAGATGGAAGTCTCTGGCTCTCGGACAGCTGGACTCTTTCCTGAAACGTCATTCATCTCTCTCGGGAACTAGAAGCAGCCTTTGGGGGATACCCTCCCAAGCCCTGGCTGGGCGCACCAATCTGTCCGTAAGCCATGCTGATTAGCCTCTCGTTCACTAGCTTGTCTGTCTGGGAGTTCCGTGGTTGCCTCTTCATGATGTCGCTCTCAGCCGCTTCGTATGCTAACGAGATCGCAGGAACCTGTACACACAGGACAAAGGGAGGAGAAGGTATCTGAAGAGGTCTGTGACACTGTTCAATGAAGCACTAACAGAATTCAGCACATTGGCATATAAGACTCTGTTATCACTAGGGATATAGCTTGGGGGGGGGCTGCTTGCCTAGCACGAGTGAGTCTTGGGTTCAATTCCCAGTACTACAATGTGGTGGAGAGAAACTTCCTATTTTCCTCCAGGCCTGTGCTGATCTGCCGTCTACTAGTCAGGATCTAGTCAGGTGCCTGGGTGCAGCTCGTTCGTCTGCTGCTCACCCCACCCCTATTCTGTGGGACTGCCTGGTCTGCCTTGACTCCGCCCTCTGGCCTCACCATGTCTGTGCCCAGGTCGATGCAGAGGATGGTCACAGTGCCCAGGGGAAGGGGGATGTTGGCAATGATGAACAGCAGGAAGGGGGTGATCTCAGGAATGTTGCTGGTCAGAGTGTACGCGATGGACTTCTTCAAGTTGTCAAAGATCAGGCGGCCTGTGAAGAGGTTCTGAGGGTGTCAGGGAGAACAGAGGGACCCTCCCCGCCCTGGTCCCTGAGCTGTGACAGGCTGCTCATTTTTCTAAGAGGAAGGTTTAAAGCTGAAGCAGCATGATCTTAGAGTGAAAGTCAGAGGAAGCAGAAGGTCTGGCTTCAGACATCCTGCATGCCACGCAGCTCACACAGCCTCCTCACCCTCCTCCACGCCTGTCACAATGGAGGCAAAGTTGTCGTCAAGAAGGATCATGTCAGCCGCCTGCTTAGAGACATCAGAGCCGGAGATGCCCATGGCAATGCCGATGTCAGCTTTCTTCAGCGCGGGGGAGTCATTCACTCCGTCACCAGTCACTGCTACTATGGCTCCCTGGAAGGCGAGGGAGACACCAAAGGTGTTTGAGAACAGAGTCCTTGCCTGTCTGGCTCTTGATTTTGCCCTGTCTCTGCCTCTTGCTCACCTGCCTCTGACACCCCTCCACAATGATGAGCTTCTGCTGAGGGGAGGTCCGGGCAAACACAATCTCCGTGTGGTCCCTGAGGATCTCATCCAGCTGCTCTGACGTCATGTCCTTCAGGTCTGAGCCATGCACTACACATGCCTTGGCTTCTCTGGAGGGTAAGGGCAGAGACAGCTGACCATCTATGCTCATGCTGGTCCTGCTGTCCCTCCCTGGCCACTGAGTGCCTTAGTTCCTCTGGGAGGTGGAATTCCACTATTGCTTCTATGCTCCCTTCTGTGAAGCCAAGTCCTGCTATTTCTCTCAGAGGAGACAATATTACATCCTACCTGTGCAAGCATAAGTGCTGTTTGCTAGGCAGATCCTATCCCTATAGCAACCCTGCAGTGTGGACAGCATCTTAATTTCATAACTGAGAAAATGAAAGTTCTGGGCTGCAAGACGTTTCCAAGGTGACACAGCTCATCAGTGGCACAGCCCAAACACAAGCTTGTCTGAGGAACTAGCCATTGGGCTATCAAAGGAAAAACCTTAGTCTAAGGGTCCTAGAGATGCTGTCCAGATATTCCCAAGTCACAGTCAGGGGCTCTCTGGGAGAGGATGTGCTGGCCAGCAGTGAGATCTTTGTAATGGCCTCACCTGGGATTGACTTGACTCACAGGAATGTTGAGCCTGGCTGCAATGTCCTCCACGGTCTCGTTACCCTCTGATATAATGCCCACACCTTTGGCAATGGCCTTGGCTGTGATAGGGTGATCCCCAGTCACCATGATCACCTGATAGGAGACAGAAGGCAGAAAGAGAAAGCAGTGTTGCTTCACCCCCCGCCCCTGTTCCTTTCTCCAAATCATGTAAAGTTAAACTACTAGGTGTGTGTGTGTGTGTGTGTGTGTGTGTGTGTGACAGTAAGGACAAAGGACAGAACAAACTGGGTTCAAGGTTCAGAGAGAGCGTGTTTAAACAGCCAAAAAACATCTATGACAGATTGGCAGGTTAATGAGGGTCCCTCGGCGGAAGAGAGTTTGTGTTTCTTCTCCAACTCAATCTGTCTGTCTGTCTGTCTGCCTGACTGCTCTTGCCTATGTCTGTCAAGTGCTGGGATTATGTACAGACATTATCATGCCTGAGTTGTCTGGGAGATTGCTTTAGGAGTTTGGATACGTGAAAATGAGACAGAGCTGGACAGGTACTTCTTTTAACAGCTTCCCTCCTCCTCTTCCTTCTATTATTTTACGTGTATGGGTGTTTTGTCTGTATGTATGTCTGTCTACTACATCTGTGCCTGGTGCCCTTGGAGGCCAGAAGAGGGCCAACTGAGAGTTGCCTTTGGGTCCTCTGAAAAAGCTGTCGGTGAGTGCTCTTAACGCTTTTAACGGCTGAGCCACCTCACCAGCTGTTAGCAGCTCCCCTGAATACAGTTAAGAAGACCAAAGCTTTGTGAGCACTCGTGATTTCTTCAGGGTCACAGGAATCCAGAACAAAGGTTTGGTTTCCCAAGTACCTCCAGTGGCCACTGCAGCAGCGCAGTGGGAAGATCAGGGCCACATGCTCATCTACTTCCAACTGTCCTGCATGGTATGGGGGAGGCAAGGCTTAGGCAAGGCAAGGGTAATTAATGGTTTTTTGTTTTTTTTTTTTTTTTTACTGTTGCACAATACAAGGAATGGGATGAGAAGGGTGTACTCCTGGAAAGAGGCTATCAGCATAAAATGAGCCAACTGGGAGAGGGCAGATTAGCATATGTGGGCTTGGAGAAGAAGTCCCACAGATCTGAAACAAGACACACCTCTTCAGGCTGCATTGCCTTCTCTCCCACCGCTATTTTATTAACCTGAACCTTCCCCCAAAGTACCTTCCTACTGAGAAACAAGCGTCTCTTCAAACCTCATTGTTCTTGACTCTCTAAGGTATTGAGATCCTTCAGTCTGTTGGTTTCTGCACCTCCTTCATCTCTGCCTCAGTTGTATCTCTACACCGTTGAGTGCTCGTTCAAGCTTCCTCAGGGTGGCAGAATGGAGCAAGTCCTGGCTTTGGACAGGAACATTTACCAGCTGTTGGAACTTGGACAAGTCCATTTTTTTGTTTTAGCACAATGGAGGGGGTGGTTCACATCATCCCAGGCTGGCTTTATGTAGACAATAAATGTTAGCTGTGTCCTACCACCCTGTCTCCCTCCTTTCTCTTTCTCCACTTCCTCAGAAATGTTGGTGAACCCAGGGTCTCATTCTGTACCTTTCCCTTGGCTCCTGTTTGCTTTCTGAACAATGAAATAAAGTAGTCTAATAAACCTTTAGTTTATACTCATATGCTAATGAGATTTAAATCTCTAGTCCTGACCTTCTTTCTTGAACTCTAAACTACATTCCAACTGTCTCTAGATGTTCATACCCCCCTATAAATGCTTCAAACTTAAGATAGAAGCTGAAATCCCATCAGTCCTCCCAGCACTCCCCCCCAAGCTCTGCTCCTTCTCTTAGACAGCGTCTACTCTGTCCATTCTGTCCTGTTCTCTCCCATATCTTTGTACCTCATGCCCAGCTTGCTCACCAAGTTCTCAAAATGCTTCTCAAATGCAACTACGTGTCTCCATTCCCTGTGTCACTATCGTGCTTAGATCCTCACCCTGGCCTGGGCTATTGTGCTATTGTGTTATCTTAATCTGTCACCCTGCTTCCCTGATTTCAGCTCTTGCCCAAATCGAGTCTATCCTCCATTAGGTAGCCTTAAAGCTATCTCTGTGACATCTGCAGTCTTCTGTGGCACACAAGTCTGGCATTTAAAGGAAATCCTTCCAACTGGCCCTGACCCAATGTCTCAGTCCTAATTCCCAGTCGTCCCCCTATCTCTCCCCTGCTGACTTGCACACCTCCTGATAGTGTGGGCACATCTGGGTACATACTGTTCTTGCTGTGGCTCCCCTTCCGTTAGAGCCTACTGAATCATCATCAGCCTTCAAGGCCCAGGTCAAATATCATCCCCTCTGCTAAACCCTGTCTAGTTCTCCAAGGCAGAATTAACAGTTCCCAGTTGGTTTTCCACAGAGCCCTTGCCCAGCCGCTGTGCCATTTCTCATCATGCCAAGAGGCACCTGACTGGGCAGAAGGAACATGGCTCCCAGACAGGCCAATTGGGCTTCCTATTCCCAAATCAACTCTTACAGCACTTCTATTTTGGAGAAGCTATCTACTCTGAGTTTCTCCGTGTTTGTTTTTCAGTGGGGAGTGTGTGAGTAATAATGCCTATTTTCCATACTGGGTTCTTATTTTGGTCAAAACTCACACACATTCACAGCACCAAGTCTTCTGGTATGATGGTTAAGAAACAGACTGCCTGGTTTCAAATTCTATCTTACTTGCTATATGGTCTTGGGCTTGGTACTCTGTGCCTCAGTTTCTCTCTCTGTAACAGGGAGATGCTGGTGCTTACTCAGAAGGAAGCCATGCATAGTGCTTGTAGTGTCTGATGCATATAATAAGTTAAAATAACTTATTATTAGGGCATCTGACCAATAAATACAAAACCCTTGTGACTGTTCTGTGATGTGTTTAGAAGCATCTGCCCACTGCTCCTAATCCAGAGAGAGTGAGATGTAGCTCAGTTTCTACTCATCTTTGTATCCTTGGTGGGATACAAAGACTTGGCTCTCAGGGGACAGGCTGAGTTTCATTGTTAAAAAAAAAAATTGTGGAACTGATGACACCAGAATTGGTGACTAGAAAAAAGAGGATGTCAGGGACTGAGTACCTGATGTATGTTGGTAAGCAATAAATATTTTCTAGATGAAGAACAAACCAAACAAATAAAAGAGAGTAGTCAGTGAGAAATGACCGACTGCACTTGGACAAGAATTCAGTGTGTGTGGAGGGGGGGAGTTGTGGGTGAGAGAGGAGAATATGGAGAGATAAGAGGAACTCACTGGGTAGACAAGAGCTTACTAGTCCTGCTCCAAATGGTTAGACTGAGCAGCAGTGGGGCAGTCAGATAACCAAGTATCCATGTTAGGAATGCCGACTGGTGTTTCGAATGAAACAGGAAGTGGGGGCACATGCAGAGGGGGCAGTGAACTGGGCTGGATGATAGGCACGAGCTAAAGACAGAGGTGAGTGCTCTTGTCAGGCATGTGCCATTCCCTGCAGAAGGATAACTCCTCTGGGTCAGTGGGAAGGAGGCCACCAGGAGCCTGTGTCTCCTCAGGACAGCAGCTGCTGCGGTCCCTTGACCTCTGGCACCAGGCATACAAGGATACAAGTGTGGGGGGTGTAGGAAGGAGGACAGTACCTTGATGCCCGCACTCCGGCACTTGCCCACAGCATCTGGAACAGCTGCTCTGGGGGGATCAATCATAGACATAAGCCCCACAAAGCAGAGCTTCTCTGTGGGAAAGTTTAGCTCATCCGTGTCAAATTTGAAACCCCGAGGAAACTTTCCAGAAGGCAGGTTCAGCTGACAGAAGCCTGAGGAGGAGCAGAGGGAGGAGTGAGAGCAGCAGTGCAGCTGCCGGGTTGCCTCCAGGTAGCTAGAGACACTGCCAAAGCCTGGGAGCCACCTTCTCAGCCCCTGCTCCTCTTTCTGCCTCCTCACCCAGGACTCGCTCCCCGAGTCCCCCCAGCTCCATGTAGGCGTTTTGAAAGGCATCTTGCATCTCCTTGTCAAGAGGGATCTCCTTGCCCTGTACCAGGATGGTGGAGCATCGGTCCAGGATGCGCTCTGGGGCGCCCTTCATCACTAGCACATGGCTCTGGGGGCTGTCTTCCCTCTCGTGGATGGAAAGCTGGAGAAGAGAAAGGGGGCTACAGAGGGAGCCGTATAATCTTGGTGGCTCTGTTGCTTAGCACAGGGTCTGATAGCAACTGCTTAGAGGGAAGCCTTCCTTAATAACATAACAACTCTTATCCATCAAAGATTGTCAACAAAGGACAAACTATGTGTGGAGGGTCCTTGTTTATAATACGAGTCTTAAAATCCGTGGAGTTCTATGGAGTCACGTCCATAGAACGGTGACTTTATTCAACAAATAGTCATTAAGATCAGTTGGGATAGGCATTGTGCTAGTAGGGGTCGGATGGTTTTCATTAGCATCCCCTAGTCCCCAGTGACCAAGGGATTTTCCCTCCATGGTATACGCAGAACAGAGCTGAGGCTCTTCTTGGCATGAACAGGTGCCTAAAGGCTGACGGATGCAGTGAGGGAATTACGGAGATTTAGTTATTCAGATGGCAGTGTTGGGGGATTGTTGCCAGCGGATGGGGGTCTATCAGAAGAGAGTGATGAGCTGTGTGTAGTAAGGTTTCCAGTAGAAAGAGAGGCATCATTTGTTCCTCAAATGTACCCCATCCCTTCTTTCTGTTGAATCTCCTTTGACTCACTTTCCTCTACTGAGTCTCTGTTCACCCACTCTCCCCATTTTGGTCCCCTTTTCTCTCTCTCTGTCCCAGCAGTCCAGCCAGACCTGATATTTGTTGGTGGAGTTGAAGGGAATTTCTGCCACCTTAGGGTTCCTGTCCCTCATCTTTCTCACTGAGCCACAGGACAACTCAATGCACTTGAGCAGAGCTGACTCAGAGGCGTCTCCAGCTGTGTCCCGCTGCCAGGAGAAATGAGAATTCAGTGTCACAATGCGGGAGGGGAGGGAGTGGAGGATGACGGAGACATAGCATCAGTTGATGTCACCAAGGCAGCTACAGGATGTGAGAGGGAAAGCTGGGTATCTGCAAGGGGACTTTGGAAACATCCCCCTAATACATCTGTGTCTGCACCCACTGGCTGGTCCCCTACCTTAGACACTGAGATGTTCTCCTGCCCAGCCTTGAAGACAGCACGATTGCAGAGACCAGCAATCCGAGACAGTGCTGTCCACGTGGGGGACCGTTTGTCAAAAGTGGCCCCTGGGAAGAAAGGAGGGGGAAGCTTGGCTCTCCATTAGAGCATTTCACACCCTGGTCTCCCTCTTCTGCAGGGCCCTCAGCAGGATCCACTTCCCTTCACCCTTTCCGGAGCACCCACTCACCAGACTGATCTTCAGTGGTGTCAGCCTCATGGATCTGGTTGTCAAACCACATGTGAGCCACTGTCATGCGGTTCTGGGTGAGGGTGCCCGTCTTGTCTGAGCAGATGGTAGATGTGGAGCCCAGAGTCTCCACTGCCTCCAGGTTCTTCACCAGGCAGTTCTTGCGAGCCATGCGCTTGGCTGTCAGCGTCAGGCACACCTGTCAGACAGAGAGGAGAATGAAAAGGGCCAAGTCTAGAGTGACTGATGTCAATGATCCTTCACCATTCTGAAGCTCTAATCCTTTTCCATTAATCCCACTCACAAAAGACTGGGTGGGACCTAGCAGGAAATGGCAACAGTTCAACTTTAGGCTTGTTAAATAGGTTCTGAGGGGTATCTGTGACAATGCCCGGGAGAAAATTGAAGATGTCTGACTCCAGAGCAGGTACAAAGATGTGACAACCACAAAAGGGACAATAGAAACTGTGGAAAAAAATAGGTTCCTCTCAGAGTGGCAAGGAAGAAGGCAGAGGCTGGAGCTTGACAGCGGCTGAGCTACTGTGAGGCCAGGAGAACCAGGATGGTGACACATCACAGTGACTGATGAAGGACAGAGGGCAGGAGGGTGGACAGAAGTATTTATTTCAGCAGCAGAGTTAAGGATGAGAGCTAGAAATGTCAGTGGATTTGCAGGTTAGTCACTGGTAACCTTTGAAAAGTCTTTATAGGACAAGAGTCCAGACTGTATCGGGAGACTAGCACACAGATGGTGAGAAACATAACCTCAACAAGCCCTAAAAGAGAAATCAAATGCTCAGATACAGCTCAACACCAAAATTTTCAACCACAAACTCAGAGGCATGCCCTGAGCAATTTCTGTGTATGGCGTCTACTATGTGACTTCAGGGACCTGAAGGCAAGAACATTGCCCAAAAGCAATAAGCAACTGTCTGTATCAAACAGGGAGAAGGACGGTGGCAATGGTGGAAATTCAGCATCATTCACTCACAGTAACGGTGGCCAAAAGCCCTTCGGGAACATTGGCTACGATGATGCCGATGAGAAAGATGACTGCTTCCAGCCAGCTGTAGCCCAGGATAAGGGACAGAACGAAGAAGGAGACCCCCAGGAACACAGCCACCCCTGTGATCAGCTGGATGAAATGTTCAATCTCCATAGCTATGGGTGTCTGTCCCACCTCTAGGCCAGAGGCAAGAGTGGCTATGCGACCCATCACTGTCCGGTCACCTGTGGCAATCACAATGCCCCTGGCAGTGCCTGCCATGAAAGAAAGAACAGAGAGTGAGTGTCCTGGGCTGGCAATGACTGACGTCTCATTGTTTTCTAAGGATATGAAACATCACAAAGGAAATAAGCCGAAGACTTGGACCTTGGTGGCCACCTTTAGTAAACAGGGCTTCCCTCCCTGCATAGACCACCGATCTTAGATTCAATAAAATGGCAAAGTATTTTCTTTTATATTTGGGTCTGAGAAGACATCTTGCAAGTACTACTGAAGTTCAAATTGAAGAGATTCAATAAATGAAGTAAACATGGCTCACCACCACACTTCAGCAAATCAACCTTGCACTAGATATCTCAAAAGCACATTAGAAACAGAAGTAAAACACTTAATGGTTTTTGTTTCTTGGTTGGTTTAGTCTTAAGATTTTCTTGGGCCAGCAAGATGGCTCAGTGTGTAAGGGCTCCTACTTGCCAAACTTGATAACCTGAGTTGGATCCCTAGAACCCACATGGTGGACAGAGAGAACCAAGTTCTGCAGGTCCTCCACATGTGCACTGTGGCATGAGTGTGCTCACTTACACACACACACACACACACACACACACATTAGGAGAGATTTTTTAAAAATTAAAACAAAATCTTCTCACTGTAGAATAAAATAATTTTTATTTTACATATTATATCTGTATATTTATTCTATATATTTATAAACTATAAAATAATCTTGTGATTATCTAAAATATGTGACATTACAGGGGTCTTTGGGAAGGAATCGTGAAATCCTGGGAAGAGCATGCATGTTCAAGTCAGTCAAATCTGGTTCACATGCCATTTGGACCCCTACCTAGGAGTCAGTAGTCAAATGGGCTGTGACAATCGCCTGTCACAGAGCAGGCTTGCAACAAATAGGACTTGCAGTCTTTTCCTCTCTTCAGAGCTAGTCGCTGCATAAGCAGTAAGGATACCTTATCTGACCTTTCAAATGCATTCAGTTATGGGAAAGCTATGACAAATCAGATTCCCAGTACATTAAACATTTAGGAAATTTAATGTGTAGTGATTTTTTATTGTAATTCCAATTCTCTGAAGGAAGGAAACAAGCCCAAAGAACCAATGTATTGAGGAGAAGGAGACCCAGGGAAGAAAAGACATGGAGCTGGGATGCAAGAGGGTGTTCGTTATCACCTTTGAGAGGTCTGTGGTCCAGGCACCTCTCTCTCCTACCATCTCTTGCCCCTGGATTCCTTCCCAGAGTCAGTCCTGACTCAGCTCACTGGCTGGTCTAGAACCACCGACTAGAAGACCTCACTTGACTCCCGTATTCCTAACAGTTGGGGGAGGGGGCATCTTGCCTCACCATCTGAGTGTTTTGTGGAAGGCTTTCAGTCTGGGGATCAACAGAACTGAGAGCTTCCTGTAGAGAGGTGACTTCCAGCAGACTCAGTCTGCCCTTGGCCAACGCCCTGCTCTCCAGAGATGAGGACTACTGCAACGTTCAGGGCCCTGTCCCCTCAAATGCCCTTTATATGTCCAGCTTTAGCCGAATAAATATAGTTTCAAGAGTCAGCCCCTTCCCTGCACTGTGCTGGGATAAGGAGCTTTCTTAGGAGGCTAGCTTCTCACCTTCCACGCAGTTGGTAGAGAAGAAACAGATATTGCGGGTCTCCAAGGGGTTCTCATGGGTGAACTCAGGGGAACGGGTCTGGGGCTCTGACTCCCCTGTTAGGGATGAGTTATCCACCTGAGGAGAAAGGGGTGTGATCATTAAATTGGTAGCAGCAGCTCTGTGTGCACACAGCTGTCTCCTGAGGCAGATTCAAACACCGTCAGTCTTCATGACAAGAGGGACAAAATTACGCTTGCCCTCATCACATACTTATGGCGTTACTCAGCTATCGCCCTAGGTTTGGTTTGGATGACTGAGGCTACCTGACGTTTTTATGTCTTTGGGTTATTTACTTAACCCGCAAGGCCTTTGTTGTTTGCCTGTAAAGTGGAAATGTGAGCAGGGTCATTGCATTGCACAACTCCAGAGACTCCAGCAAGGCCAAGGCTGTCTATGAAATGCTACCTCCCAGGGTTATCAGGCTGCGACAGATAGGGGCCTTCCTAATTACGTCATCTCTTTCCAGACACCCTCTCTGTGTAGCCAGGCTGGGTGGACCTTGGACTCTCCATCTTCCTGCTTCTACCCTTCCCCCCCACCTGTGGAGGGTTAAGATTTATATAGGTGTGACCCACCACACCCAGCTTCTTCAAATTTCTTTTCTTAAACTTTTATTTATTAGGCCAGGGATCTCTGTAGCCCAGGCTGGCCTGGAATCTTTCAGAGTGAAATTAGATAGTGTATGTAAAGGCTTCTATCACGGAAATGGTATGCAATACACAATGACTATGAAGTGGCTAGGTCAAAGAAATCCCAGGGCATAGAGCATTCCTAACACATAGATACACAGAGGAAGCATGTAGCCATCATATGGTGGAAGGAGGTATAGCTAGGAGGTACAGGGGAGACCTTGATGTTCACAATTGGGTGTGGGTTTTTTTAACTTTTAAACTTTCAAGCGGGGCCTCTCTTAACTGTACAGACTCAACCACTCACTCCCAGTGACCTCCTCACCTTGCAACCGTGGGAAGAGATGATGCGGAGGTCAGCAGGGACGCGGTCTCCACCCTTCACTTCCACCAGGTCTCCCACCACTACCTCCTCTGCATTGATCTGCATCTTCTCTCCCTCTCGGATGACCAGAGCTTGCTGTGGAAAGGCCAAGAGCCCATCATGAATTGTTCATTTCTACCTTTGCTCTCTGAGAAAAAAACCCACACCATTAGAGGCAAAACTGTGTTCTGGCGTGGAGAGCCGACAAGGGTATTTTCTTCCAACTCAGACCACAAGACAAAAAGAGGTGGGCCATCTCAGAGTTCTCATGCCCCAACATGGGTGGAGCCGGTCCCTTTCTGTCTACCTGAGGCACCATGTTCTTGAAGGAGTCCATGATCTTGGAGCTCTTAGCTTCCTGGTAGTAGGAGAAGCAGCCAGTGACGATGACCACAGCTGCTAGCACGATACCTAGATATAACTGGTAAGAAGAAAGAGTTTGAGGGACTTGCCATTTGTCACCTTGAGGAGTGGGTGACACTTGTGATGAGCACCCAGTCACTCTGTGTGGGATCCTCATCCTCCGTCTGAGTTCAAGTTCGAGAACTGTAGTGAGAAGGCTTTCTCAACAACCTCCCCCAGTCTCCTAATCCACACTCCTAGCATGAAAAGGCAAAGAAGGGAGTTCCCATGGCTCCTGCTTTTCTAGGAGTGATGACCCAGGGATACAGACCAGCTTATTAGTGGAAGGAGTACAGACGGACTGTCTCACTCATTGCTGACACACATGTGTTGGAGGGCGCTTCACAGGTATGTACAGAAGCCTCACTTTTCTTCAGCCTGAAGAACTAACTAGGTCTGTGATCTTGTTTCCTGAGCCCTCCCATCACCGTTTTTGGGGTTGTGAGTTGGAGGGCAGGGCCGTGAGCTGGTCCAGGGGTCAGGAGCACGCTTACATTATCGTTGGATGGTTCCTCCTCCATGGCGGCCAGGATGCCGTAGGCTAAGAAGCAGAGGAGTGCCCCAATCCACAGCAGGATAGAGAAGCCCCCAAAAAGCTGACGACAGAACTTGACCCACTCAGGAGTTGTGGGGGGTGGAGTGAGGGCATTGGGTCCATCTCTAGCCAGAATATCTTGAGCTCGCTGGTTGGTGAGGCCCTGGGGAGTGAGGAAAGGTATGGGGGTGGGCATAGGGAACAAATCTGAACCTCACCACATCTCTTGGCATCTTGGAGAATCATGTTCAGCTGGAAGGAGAAAAATCTCCTTTGGTTGGAAGGGGTGGGAGCATCACAAGGGACCACACAGAGAAACTGGTATCTATAATGAGCCTTGGGCCTTGAAGGCTAAAATGGACTCTCACTGTGGCTCCACCTTGGTTATTCTTGGGCTGAAAGATGTTTTTGTTGGGACAGCATGCATAAGCACACCGGAAAGATTCCTTGTCTGACCACCCTTCTTTCTTCCTGCAGCTCCTTCCTTTCTCCAGGGCTCCAGGGAAAGCTCACAGTTTTGACCTGACTGTCATGCAGTTTTGGCAATCACCCATCACTTTCCAAAGAAAGCCTAGCCAGGCTTGCTACTCTTTGATCTTGCCAGCCTAGATCAAAGGCCTCTTTCTGAATCCAGGTAGTTCCCCATGCTTGATTCTAGAGTGGTGCTTACTATATCGCACTGGAATTCTGTTTGTACTGTTTTTATTTTTGAAATTTTTGCTACTGACTTGGAGCAGAAACCACGTGTTACTGATCTTCATGTCCTGAGTTCACCTACTTTATGTGTGAACCTTGAGCTCTGACTGCATGCCCTGCACTGGGAAGGATCTAGAGACAGACAAGATCAACAAAGTAGCCACCCACAGTCTAAAGAGGAAACCACACTAGTAAATTTACAATGATGCCAGAGAGGGGAGAAAGTGTCATAGAAAATAAAGCGAGGTTAAAGAGTGGGAACATAGCAGTTTAAGCAGAGAGACAGAAAGGAGTAATTCAGGGATATTGAGCATAGAATTTTTTTTTGTTTGTTTGAGACTGGGTATTGTTCTAGCTTGGAAGTTACTTTATAGCCCAAGCTGGCCTTGGACTTGTAGCTAGCTTCAACAATGTTTTTATTTGTTTGAGTCAAGATTTCAATAGTTTGTCTACCATGGTCTTGAGCCCCTGGGCTCAAATATTCTTTCTGTTTTAGCCTCCTAAGTACCGGAGACTACAGTAGACCACCATAGCACTTGGAAGATTTTCTTTTTAAAGTAAGGATTGAATTTAGGGCATCACAGGAGCTACATGGCACTCTACCACTGAACAACATCCATAGGCCTCTTCGATTTGATCTTGAGACAGGGACTCTAAGTTGTCTGCCCCAGCCTTGAACTTACAATCTTCCCTGCCTTAGTCTCCTAAGTAGCTGGAGTAATAGAGGTGTGCCAGAGCACCTAGCTTTGAGGAACAATTTAAAATAATTTTTAATGATGAGTTCGGCAATTTGATGTGGCCTGTATTTATTTATATAACCCAGCTCATCTGGGGCCATCCTGGGGAAGGGGAAATGAGACGTTTTGGGAAAGAAAGCTGAGCACACTTGGGGGCACAGGGCTAAGTGGGGAGCACAGGCCTGGGTACAGATCCGGCAAGTCATTCTCCCTTTCTGATTCTCCTTGCTTTAATAAACAGGCTGGCAATGCCTGACACAGCTCTGGTGAGGATTAAAGAAGTGTCTGCACTGCATCTTATTACAGAGCTACTGATGCTGCAGGAGCCAGCAAGTGCTATAACAACAGGGATGAGTCACCTTGCTGGTCCATGCCTGTCATCTCTGAGAGCAGACGCTTGAGGAGGACCACAGAGCCTTGCCAGGGTCTGGGCCTTGGGTTCTAAGGAGTTCTAGATTCCAGATACACAGGAAAAGAGGGGGAAGGAGGGGTCCAAAAGTTGACTTCTGGCCTTGCCACCAACTAATCCCATAATGGTAGGTAAGTCTCTGGGCTGCTCCCCTCACTTGCAAAGGGCATTGTGTTCTAGTTTTGGGGCTCTCCTTCCTGCCTCCCTCACACCGGCACTCACCTTAGACAGGTCCACTTGGTATTTTCGGCCCAGTTCATCCAAGGACAGCTTGTGGTCATCCTGGAGAAGGGGACATGGAGACGCTTTGGGAAAGGAGGCACACTTCGGGGGACAGGGTTAAGTGGGGACACGGGCCTGGGTACAACGCTCCTTTGGGTGCTCATGGGTGCTGGTGTGTGACTACCCAAGCAGAGCTGCTGCTCCGTAGCCCTGCTGAAAGCGCTGTGGTCCTTACCATGGCAACCTCCTTCTTCAGCTCATCCAGCTCCTTCTCTTTCTGTTTCTTCTTGCCACCCCCATTCTCCGCAGTGGTGGCGGCAGGCGAGTACTCGCGCCCTGCCTGAAAAAGGAAGGGAGGGCACAGATCATCACGGAGACTGGATGGAGCCATCGAGGATGTCCTGCCGTTAGAAGCAGGGCACATTTTGAAAAAGATTATTCTATGTTATCTGAGGGGACTCTGGGAGCGGGCAGGAATTGTGTCAATGGGCAGGCTATCCTGTAGGAATGTCTGCCTAATTTAGAGAGAAGCACTGGATAGAGTAAAAGTCCCAGGAGGCAAGAGCAGGCTCGGTGGTGTGAATGGAACGGGTACAGATGATGGGCTGAGAGAATCTAGGAGCGATGGGTTCAATTATGTCTATAAAATGGGAGCCCAGCCTGCAGGGCAGGCTTGCCTGGGACTGGACATAGGAAACTCCAAAGCATAACTGAGTTCCCTTTGTCAAGAAGTATATATGATAGTAAATATAGATCTGAAGTCATGTAAGTCAGGGTCAGTCCTGGGCCATCTGTCCAGGTCAGCGCGATGTTTTTAATACTGATCTTTTAAGGACCCCGTTTGCCCTTCTCTTCAGGGCCACTGCAGGTTTTCAGGGTTGCATAGGAGCTTCTTTGGGGAGATGGTGAGGATTCTTCATTCAAATGGAGGCGGCCTTGGAGCAAGGGGCTAAGTGGGGAGTAGGAAAGGCCTGGGGTTCTTGATAGTGTGCAAAATATTGTCATATCCCTCCATGTCTCTCTACCACCCTCAGGATATAACAAGTAGCTAAGTTTATACCTGGTCTCTATGCCTCTTCCATGAACTCTAAAGGCTACACTGAGCTTTTAGAAGTTAGTTTTTTTTGTTGTTGTTTTTGTTTTTGTTGTTGTTTCGAGACAGGGTTTCTCTATATATCTCTGGCTGTCCTGGAATTCACTCTGTAGACCAGGCTGGGCTCGAACTCAGAAATCTGCCTGCCTCTGCCTCCCAAGTGCTGGGATTAAAGCCATGCGCCACCACTGCCCAGATAGGAGTTTTTGATGCTGTGATTATGATCTGTATTTTCCATAAAGAATGAAAGAATACCTGATATAAAGGAGAATCAGTGGAAGGGGAGGCTGCTTGTTTATTTTGTTTTTCAAGACTATGTAATTGGGGGTGTTTTTGCTTTTAGCCAGGGTTTTTTATTTTTTTTTTAGCAGCTTTTTGGCTGACCGCAAAGGTGAGTGGAAAGTAGAGGAAGTTCTCACGAATCTTCTACCCATGGACAGCCTCCCTCCACATCAGCACCCCACATCGTTAGAGCAGTACATTGTTTCATCCCAATGGCCAGGGTTGACACTCTTGTAGTGAGCGTATGTTCTATGGATTCAGGCAAATGCAGATCGGTATGGATCTGCCATTTCACCAGCATGTGGCTGTGGTCCTCTGAGTCCTCAGTACTCAGAATAACGTATTTTCACCTATCGGAGTCAGCAATCTGCGGGGTATGGCAGCTGTTGAGATCATAAGGAACAGTAAGCTTAGCACCAGTGAAATCAGGAGCAGTGCTGGGCTTGGGCATACACCACAAGGTGGACACTTGTTTCAGGATGCAGTGACCTAGACAGAGATGTGCTCTCGGAGACCGTGTTGCTCAGACATGCTCCATTTAGAAAAGGAAACCGACCTGTTATGCTTTCATCTCTATCTGAAATACCCATGAATGCAATCTGGTCTTGAGCTTCTGAAGGCCAAGCATCTTGGGGAAACTAAAATGCTCATCCAAAGGAGTTGAGTATTTCTACCTCTCCTCTCCCCGGGTGATGCAGGCGGCTTCATTAAGTTGGGTGTATTGAAATGTTCCGTCCTCTAGCACTCTTGGTGAGGCTGAGCAGAGAATAGAAAGCCACAAAGGGACTGAATTCGAGAAAGCATCTGGACAGACTTCAGTGTGGTCCTTGGGGGCTTGAGGGGTGGGAGGCTCAGGCTAGAGGCTGAGCTGCAGAGTCCAGGAAGACCTCTGCACATCTGACATCAAATAACAGACATGAAAATTAGAACCAAATGCTCACTTATAGAGCTGGGACTGGTGATGTGCACATCTGTATTCCCATAATTCAGGAGGTGGAGGCAGGAAAATTGGAAGTTTGAGTCCAGCCTGGACTACATAGTGAGATCCTGTCTCAAACAAGCAAATACATGTCTCTGAGAAATGTGCTGGCTTTTACATGCTGATCTATTGAATTGTGGCTGAGCTAAATAACTCCATGTGGCGCTCTCTTTTCCCAGCTCCCACCCTGTTCTCCCCTAAGTGCAAAGCTTGGGATTCTCTGCCTTCCCCCTCCTCCTGTCCTGGCAAGGATCTCAGGCTCCATGGCCAGGAGCCTGCAGAGATTTGGGGCCAGTAGCTGCCCAGGAAAGAAAGAAAGAGGAAGTGGGGACCCCTCTCTCCCCCTCCGGTCTCCCCTCCCCTAGCACAAGTCCCTCTCTTTGGTTCTTCAATGTTGTAGGAGAACAGAGAGTTCTTTTTCAGAAAGCCAGAGACTGGGACAAAGTGGGGGTAGTTGGAAAGCAGCCAGTGCTCCCCCCACCCCCACCTCAGCCTCTGGAGGAGGCTTGGCTCCCTCCCACCAGTGTGATTCCTTCCCCCAGCTCCCACGCTGCCCTTCACAGCCACATAGCCGTGGGCTGGAATGGAGGTGAAGCAGACCATGGAGTTGAGTGAGGGGAGTGAGATTGTTTTCTGCAGGGCTCCCAGACTTAACCCAGCTTTTCACCAAACAGACCAGACCAACAAAGTCACACATAGCCACTAGGTTAGGGGTGGTGCCACAGGTTATGGATCCAGCAAAGGTGCTAGGGGAAAAGTTCTGAATGGGGAAGTCAAGGTCAAATTATTTTCCGAGTAGAAAGAACTCTGTGAGCTGAGTCTACCTTACTCTAAGGTAGAGTAGGGTGGAGGGGTGTCTGCTCTTTCTACTTAGATGGAGGTAGGGCTTGCCTGACCTGGTTGGTCCTGGCCTTTCAGAGGTTCTGCCCCTCAGCTGGATCTACCCTTTCTATGGGGGCAGGAAAGATACTGCTGAGGGTCCCAGGATAGTGTGCCTTCTTTTGACTACAACTCTTCCTCAGGGAAATCCATTGCTCATCGATAGTTCCTAAGGGTGGGCTCACAGCCCTTGTCTTATCTCCCACCCCATGGCCCTGTAGGCTCAAAGGCTCTTCATTTGAAAATTCACCTGCTGAAACACAGTGCAGGCTCACCCCTGAATGCCTGCAGCACTATCCTGGGAACATGCTATTGTAAGGCTGTGGACACATGTACACTCGTGCGCGCACGCACACACACACACACACACACACACACACACAGATGTATGTTTGCACATAGGCACAATTCTCTTCTGTCCAGTTCCCACCCTAGCTCTGGACCCCTGGTGTCCAGGATCAGAGTTTTTCCAGCTGTTCAACTTAGTGCAATAACATGTCCTTGTCTGACTCCTCCTTGGACCCAGAAGCTGGCCCACAGCACCCTGTGGCACAGTCTTCCTCACATTTTGCAATGGCTGTCAAGCCCTTTCCCTCCATGCCCTCTTTCACCAGTATTCCACAAAAGGAAACCTGCCAAGCACAGTATGGAAAGGGATTGGGTCCCTTTTCTTCATATGGGAATTTCATTTCCAAGAATTGGAAGCCTTGTCCTTGCTCGCCCAGACATGGCTGTTAATCTTTTCATTGGTAAATCCATTGCTTCAGAATGCCATGGGCAGGGCCAGTTCTCAGCAGCCGTTGGAAATGTCCCCAAAGCCTATGGCCTGGAGCCCACAGCAGTGTTGCTGGGGACATCCAGAGGGGTGCTGGGGTGAGAGCTGGGGATACATCTTTGCTCTCTCTCTGTCCCAGCTGACTCTGGCATGCAGAGCTCTGAGAACTGGTGTAACAAACTGCTAGGTGACTCTGGGACTGGGGTGCTCCATAGCTTCTTTGCAGCCCCAGGCTGGCCCTTGTGCTCTTGGGCTAAGGACCTCAGAGGAATAGATATTTTGAGTGGGTAACAAGGACGCAGAAAACTAACAGTGCCAAAGATCTCTTCAGCTGGGAAGCTAGGGACTGTGGAGAGAAAGGAGGGATCTGGGGAGAGTGGGGAGATTTAGAAAGGCACTTGGGTGGTTTCTGGGCTAGTTGTGGGAGAGGCAGAGAGCAGGGTGACCGCAGAACCTGGCAGTCCTTAGGCTCATAAGCACTGTGGAATGAATCCACATGCATGTGCAGTTGGGAGACCAGTTCCAAGTTCAAACCATCCCACGCAGTCAGTCAGTCTCTCACCCTCTCTCCACATCCCATTTCTACTCCACCCTCCAGAGAGTGGCCCCTGATCTTGGAGGTATACTCACCCCACGACCCATCTTGGGGCAGAGTGGCTGAGGGGACCTAGGCTGGAAAGGTCACCAGGAGGATCCCAAGACCACACCGCCTGTCTGGGGCAGCTGGAGACCCTGGCAGACAGACAGAGACAGTCTGAGCAACAGGGTAGCTTTAAATAGGTCCCTCTCCCCCTCACTCCCGCCTTCCCCTTCTGGGGAAAGAAACGTTTGTTGAAACTGGATCCCTGAGGACTCCTCCCTCCCCTCCCGCCCCTTTAGCAACTGGCCCAGCTGATGGTCCTGTTTTGTCCCTGGTGTGTCCCCCCCCCACCCCCCTCAGCTCCTCTCAGTATTTCCCCATCCCATGGCAGCTACAAACAAGAGAGAAGCAAGGGGAACAGAATGGGGAGGGGGAGGAGGCAAAAGGAGAAGTGGCCCCTCAATAGCCTCCTGCTCAGGGTCCTAGGACTAACTGCCTATATTTTCAGGTGAGGAAGCAAGGCTATACGGATTCATCTTAGTGGATAAGACAGAATCTCCCCAAGCTCACATCCAAGTTCCCAGAGAAAGCAACAGCCCGCTCTGTCAGCTGTAGAGGCTGCAAGGACGATGTGACCAAGAAAGAATTAGAACTAGAATACAGATGACTCTTGCATTTGAAGCTCCTTGCAGGGACCAAAGCCTGGAGATGCTGAGCCAGGAATGTCCAACTTGTTGCCCTCGGCCTGCACACCCCACTCCACCACCACGTATGAATTTGGCACAACACATCCTAAACTTACTTCAAATATTGAGATACTTTGTAACTTTATAGCAATTTTGTTCGTTTTTTGATACAGGTTTTCTCTGTGTACCCTTGGCTGTCCTGGAGCTCACTCTACAGATCAGGCTATCCTCAAAATTCAGAGATTTGCCTGCCTCTGCTGGGATTAAAGGAGTGCACCACCACCGCCCAGTGTGAGGGTGTTTTTTGTTTGTTTGTTTGTTTGTTTGTTCGGTTGGTTGGTTTTTTTGTTTTTTGGGTTTTTTTCTTTTGATACTGTGATTGCATAGTTGTCCAGTGTGGGTTTGTAGATGACGTGAATGTTATCAATGACAACATTGTGACACAATTTTTAAAGGGTGGACACACCTGCAGCCCCATGTTCAAGGCAAGCAAGAATCTCGGCACGTAGAAGCAGTTGGGGAGGTGAAGGACAGAAGATATGAAAGACACAGGAAGGAGGCCTGGTCTGGGGACAGCAGGCATTTGGTAGCATCTCTGCCATTCTGTGTGTGCCTCCCCATACTGCTCTGGATGAGTCTGAGTCTGAGGTTGGTGAACGGTCTGAGAAGTCAAATCTGGAAGGTGTGGCATTTCTAAGGAGAGTACGGAAGTCATTATCACTTCAGATACCAAGGCCTTGGACTAGAAAGAACAAAGACTTTCTCGGTTCCTTCTGGGAGGAATGGGACAGGCAGACTCCCCTTTGAGAGAACTGTATAATGAAGCTGGACCTGGGGAGAGAAAGGGGGTTTCACTTCCAGCTGGGAAGGTATTTTCAATGTTATTCTCAATAGAAACCTGAACAGAGCAGATAACTCATGACAGCAGCTGCTCTCAGGGCGCTGGCATAGTTCATTTGATGAAGAGCTGAAGAATAGACGTTGGGGATAGAGAGAAGAAAATTTTCTGCCCCCACCTATCAGGGACAGTTAGAGGACAAGTTTCTCCTGCAGTGTCCCCATTTCTCTAGGCACAGAGATGGAGTGAGTGGACACCCGCTGAGCAGGGGCAGGTCTGAGAACCCTGACTGGGAAGGAGGGAGGGAATGGGGCTTTGGCAGGAGGCCTAAGGTACCCGTTGGCTGGGCTGGCTGGGTTGAGCCCCCTCTGGCCCTGGAGGGAGCTCCCTGTAGAGGGATTATGGACCTCTTGTCCAGGAAATCTACTCTCAGAGCACAGGGCTCACATCTGAATTCCCTAAATAGCTGGCCACCTCCGGCTCTGCAGCTGAGACTTTTCCATTACAGGCAGCAGAGGGTCAGCTCCTACCTGCCCTACTGCTTCCTCCTGGGCCCAGGCAGGAAGGATGGGCTAAATAAGCACGCTTGGAGTTTCTCATGGTCCATGGTCCATTCCAGGCTCTGACTTGGGTCTGGAGTAGATGAGACTGGAAAATCATGTCAAGGACACAGAGAGCAGCTGAAGACGTAAAGCCAGGGAAGAAGGCTCTAGAAAATTTACCCAAAGGCTACTGGATCTGTGGGGTTTAGGGGTTAATAGATGGTCCCTTGGGGTATAAATGGCATCTATCGGCCTGGGCTAGAGTTCCTGAGTCATCTCCTTAGCCTCTTCAAGATATAAGGTTTGACTGAAGAAAACCACAAGGCTCTGAGCTCCTGTGTCCATCCCCCCTCCTCCCACCCCTGCTGGCACCTTCCAGTATCGTCCAGACCTTCCCACGCCCTGGTTCTGCTGTCTGTAGCCAGGCTCAGTAACGGAAAGGATTGTGCCCTTCCTCTGCTTGCAAAGCCTGCTAGGGCTCCCTGCCATGTCCTGCATTTGGGTGACCACAGCCCCAAGGACACTGTGCTCTGCTGGTATACTTGAGTGGCAACAGGCGACAGTCGGCAGAAAACCTACAGCTTTTCACCCACCCACACCTCCCTGACTACTCCCTTCATGGAAGTATGGGCATCTATCTCAGGCCCCAGATCACAGTGGAGGTAGACTTCTGGCCCTGTAATCTCTGGTACCCAGGTTGGCTAACTGGGGGTCATTTGAGTTAAGAAAGGAACAAAGGAGGAAAACAGAAAGACCTGAGAGCAGGAGGTGGGAAGGCTGCAGTGGTCTTTAGAGAAAACTCAAGAGTAGAAAGAGGTCACAAGGGACAAGATGGAAAAGGCCTGAGCCATTTTCGGCTGGCAGAGATCTGGGAAGTAAGGCTGTGTATACAGCGTAGGAAGCTGAGAGTGATAGGAACATGTATTAGTGTGGAGGTGGAGTGCTAGTTATGACCAAAGGGGACACTCGTGTCTGGGATCCCATGGGTAGGAATGTACCAAGTACTAATTCCAAAGGAGCTTCTGTCTGGGCAAGTGGCTCAGTTCCTGGGTTCTATCCCAAATACCCCTAATGTGAGAGTTGTAGAACATGCTTATAATCCCAGTCCCTGGGAGGTAGAGACAGGAGGATCAGAATGTTAAGTCCACCCTAAGCTACATAGCAAGTTTGTGAAGCCAACGCAGACAAGATGAGAGAGCCTGTCCCCCCTCCCCTTTAGATTGATGGGGACAGGCCAGTGCTTGCTTGGATGTGTGCTCCATCTTTTACAAATTAGTTGTCTGCATAGGAGTATGTGGTGTGCACGTGTCCGTGTGCGAGCATTCACGTGTGCTACAGGGAAAGCTGTGCATTACTGTGGGTGTACGTGAGAGTCCATGGGAGAGTGTGTAAGGGGGAGGGTGGGCGCTCAGCTGCAGATGGACTCATAAACGAAACAGTTTTGTTTCCTAAGTGACTGGCCTCCTGGGGCCTCCAGCCCAGACTTGAAGGTTGTTTCAAGATCATGAAAGAGAGAGTGGGAGGAACAGAGGGTGGGAAGGAAGAGATGGGAGAGGCCCCATCACTCCCCTGTCCCTCCCTCCGCCCCCACCCCCTCACCCCACTCCTCTGCTCCTGTCCTGTCCCTTCTGCCTGCATCTCCTGCTGCCAGCCCCCTGGGCTGTCCTGTCTCTCCCAGTCCCCGCACCTCTCATCTTCCTTTCTAATGTGATCTTGTCTAGGCTGACAGACTTCTGGAGCCTTCTGGGGTGTGGGTGACATCTGTTTTCTTTCAAAGAAAGACCATCATGGGGTGAACAATTAGTTGGGAGTCTAGAAGGCCCAGGGTGGCCTTAATTGGTGTTCCCTTTCTTCCTAGCTCTCCACTCCATTCCCTCAGACTGTAGGGGCCTGGTGGTGGGAATACTGGGGTCCAAGTCACAGATGTAGCTGTCCTAGGCCCGCTACTACCTCAGTTTTCCCCACTGAATACAGGGCCTATGTGTATTTTCTTCTCATCTCTTCCTCTATCTTCTTCGCGGTCTCTCTGTTCGGTGTACTTGGTGTAGTTTCTAAAAGATCTTTTCCTCGGACTCTCCTGCCACCTGCCATCTTTAATCTTTCCACCAGCTGGGTTTCTTGTCCTTTTTTGATTATTCAAAAAACATTGTATAGAATTCTGAAAAGAGAAAGATAAAGGCACTGAGAAGCAGCCTCCTGGTCTTCCTGCCTCTGACCCATAATCTTTTTGCTTTCCTTGCTTCCCTGGATCCAGAAAGGTCTGCATTGGGTTTCTACCGGAACACATGCGTGGAGGTGTTAAGGATATTTAAAAAGAAAAGATTTCCATGTCTGCTGTCTCAGGCTCGGTGGTGCACCTGTCTTTCTCGGAGTCAGGGTCATGGACTAGTGCAGTGGACACTTGCCTAAAAGTCCGGTCCCAGTGGGCCCTCCAGCCACTTGTATGACCTTGGACAGGCTGTCACCTAATTTGTCTCCCTAGTGACAAGGGGTGCCAGAAAGCCTGTGAGGTCTCCTTTCACTTCTGGTGCTCCCCAAACTCTGGGCTACTTCCTCTTACTCATGCCCAGCTCAGGGGAGCAGTAGTCTGCTGTTGCTCTGGGCTGAGAGGAGACGAGGGGCAATTTCTCCTGCCCAGTCTGTTAGTAAGGTACAGGTGTGTCTACTTCAATTTGGGTGATTATAGGAAATGAGTCTGGACCCTTTAGCTTTTGGCATAGAAACAAGGAAAGGCCTGTTTGTTTTCTAGTTAGCAAAGATGACCTCTATATTTTACACAGAGCTACTGGGAGGTGGGCAGCGTCTGGTATCCTTTGTACTGGGGAAGCTGGCATCTGTTGCTGGTATTCAGAGAGCATACAACAGGTGAGGCTGTTTCCAGAGATCGTTTGGATTGTGAAAGCATGTTAGGTGAAAGCATGTTCCAGAGATCTTTTGGACCGTGGAAATATGAGGAGGAGAGGGTTAATGGACCTTGCTGAGTTTGGGGGCAGGGGTCACAGCTGGGCCCT